CAAAAACATCGTTGGAGTCATCAGAATCACCGCATGCGCGCTCGATCGTCAGGTTAAGCAACAGTTTAATGCGGTCAAGACATGGATGGTCACCATTGGTATATATATACCGCTTGGGATCGAAATTATCGTAGGAGGATTCATGAAGGTTTGGAATGTGTTGACAACCTTCGATATCTAGTAGTTTATGAGACATGAGAAAATTAGGAATATAAGTATATTTTTGTAAACATTATGATTTTTTCATTTTTCACCTTCGCATAATAATTCTCAGTATTTGATTACTATCAATATTTAACAGTGATTTTATTATCAGTATTCACCAGAAATTAAGTACTGGCCAAAAAATTACTGAATTACTGGTAATATTTAATCACTAATAATTTTTCAGTATTTCTTAGTATGATATTTCTATAAAGCGTCTTCTACAATGGCAGTAGGAGTAGTAGTAAGAAATAAGCAGTAAGCAAATTGACCAATTCCATTCTCACGTTTCAAAAATAATCGATTGTGATTGGTCTATTTACTTACTGCTTATTTCTTACTACTACTCCTACTGCCATTGTAGGAGACGCTTAAGGGAAGCTTGTGGCACATAGAAAAACTTAAGCAGTAAGACGTAAGCAGTATGCAAATTGACCAATCGCAGTCGCTGATGTTCCTTAGTGTCTAAGAATTAATGACTGTGATTGGTCAATTCGCTTATTGCTTACGTCTTACTGCTTAAGTTTTTCTATGTGTCACGGCCCTTAGGGGCTATCTACAATGGAAAACGCCGTAATAGTAAGAAATTGGCCAATCATACTGAATTTTTACAAGAATAGTCGATTGTGATTGGTTAATTTCTTACTGCTGCAGCGTACGATTCTCCATTGTAAATAGCTCTTTAGACTAGTGGCACACAAAAAAACTTATGTCTCCTGCACACAGGACGCGGTAATGCTTGCCGCGCGGCGGAAGTCCGCGTGACAGCCAATCAATATGTTGTTATTTCGAAAGAGCTAGAAGGTTATTATGGAAAGCAGCATATTGATTGGCTGTCGCGCGAACTTCTGTCGCGCGGCAAGGATTACCGCGTCCTGTGTGCAGGAGCCATTACTACTTAAGTTTTTCTGTGTGCCACGGCCCTAAAGGCTAAATCACACTAGCGATTGGCGATTGATGATTGACGATTGAAGATTGGAACTTGACCAATTGGAACAAAGCAAGCCAAGGCTAAAGCTTATTAATTCGTTAAAATCTAATTTTTAATTATCAATCGTCATCGCCAATCGCTAGTGTGATTTGGCCTTAAGGGACGCCGCACACAAATTGACATCACAGTAACGTAAGATGTACCGTAAGGGCTATCGCACACAAATTGACATAACTGCATATGCATAGCATAAGATCGTATGGACCAATGAGCATTGAATATTAAGTCGCCATATTGATGATTGATACTTAATATTCGATGCTCATTGGTCCATACTATCTTATGCTATGCATATGCGTCTATGTAATTTTGTGTGTGATGGCCTTAAGAATTGACCAATCATTTTGAGTATCGTCGAACCGTAAGGTCGCCATTTTTGTGAATACTCGATTGTAATTGATCCATTTTTACGGTACGTCTTAAATTACTGTTATGTCAATTCGTGTGCGACGCTCTTAAGCCCATTCTACAATTACGTGAACGTGGTTGTAAGTGGTTGTAAGTGATTACGACAACCAATCAGAATAAAGCAATCAGTGAATAAAACATTCGAATTGGTTGACTCTTACGTTCACGACTACGCTTACCCAATTGTAGAATGGGCTTTAAGCCCATTCTACAATTGCGTGAACGAGGTTGTAAGTAGTTGTAAGTGATTACGACAACCAATCAGAGTAAAGCAATCAGTGAATAAAACATTCGGATTGGTTGACTCTTAAAGGGACGTCTACATTGGAAGTAAGCAGTAAGAAGTAGGAAGTAAGAATAAGAAATTGACCAATCATAGTTGATTATTCTTCTCACATTCGACTGTGGTTGGTCAATTTCTTACTCTTGCTTCCTACTTCTTGCTATTTACTTCCAATGTAGACGTCCCTTTACGTTCACGACTACGCTTACTCAATTGGGTAATTATCCAGTTTAGCGGCCTCACCTCCAATTTCGATGAAAGTAGGCTCAATCGACGCGTTTTTGCATGTCAAATAACTTTTTCTTCTGACAAAATCGTTGCTCTCTACTGCGAAGCGAGATATCAATAGACAAAGTTGAGCGCACGTTAGGTTAGAAAATCTGTCACATAGACGTAAAGTACTGACACGAATATGCTCTGTCGCCATGTGCGCATGTTCTGTAGCCACATGCGCATGCGTTTTCTTTAGTTGTCGCTAGTAAAGCTCGAAATTTAAAGTGCAAAAAACATGAAAATGAAGACAATAAGTTGTTATGCATGTTATGTACGCACACACGTATGCACAATGTTAAATTTATTTGACTTTGTATGTTTAATTAACGACCGTGAAAAATTAATAGACTTTTTAATACAACACGGTATTTTAGCATGTACAATACAGTGTAGTAAATGTAATAACGAGTTAAATATTAATAAAACAACATTATGATACCAATGTAGAAAACGGTACTTGGTAAGAAACAAACATAAAAAATGTGATTGTATTAAAAAGTCTATTAATTTGTTACAATTGTTGATTAAAAAATTGGTAATTATTCAGTCATACCGTCTATCTCTAGCTATGTAACTGGGGGGCTTTGCCCCTCAGACCCCCTATCACTACAGTCTTTTGTGAGAAATTCACTCTTTAGCTTAATTAAGCATAAGAGACTATAGCCCCCATCCCCCCTGATAGGGGGGTCTGGGGGTCGAAGCCCCCCAGTTACATAGCTAGAGATAGATGGTATGACAGATTTTCTAACCCAACACGTCCTCAACTTTGTCTATTAATATCTCGCTTCGCAGTAGAGAGCGACGATTTTGTCAGAGGAAAAAATTATTTGGCATGCAAAAACGCGTCGATTGAGCCTACTTTCATCGAAATCGGAGGTGAGGCCGCTAAACTGGATAATTACCCTCAATTGTAGAATGGGCTTTAAAGCTGGTGGCACATAGAAAAACTTAAGCAGTAAGCGAATCAGCCAATCACAGTCATTGATTCTTGGACCGTAAGAAAAATCAACGACTGTGATTGGTCAATTTGCTTACTGTTTACGACTTATGCTTAAAGGGACGTCTACATTGGAAGTAAACAGTAAGGGCTATCGCACACAAATTGACATAACTGCATATGCATAGCATAAGATCGTATGGACCAATGAGCATCGAATATTAAGCATCGAACACCAATATGGCGACTTAATACTCGATGCTCATTAGTACATATAGTCTTATGCTATGCATATGCAGTTATGTCAATTTGTGTGCGATAGCCCTAAAGCGTCTTCTACAATGGCAGTAGGAGTAGTAGTAAGAAATAAGCAGTAAGTAAATAGACCAATCACAATCGATTATTTTTGAAACGTGAGAATGGAATTGGTCAATTTGCTTACTGCTTATTTCTTACTACTACTCCTACTGCCATTGTAGAAGACGCTTAAGAAGTAGGAAGTAAGAATAAGAAATTGACCAATCATAGTTAATTATTCTTCTCACATTCGACTGTGGTTGGTCAATTTCTTACTCTTACTTCCTACTTCTTGCTATTTACTTCCAATGTAGACGTCCCTTAAGTTTTTCTGTGTGCCACGGCCCTTAAGCTTATGAACGAAAGTTTTTATAAGTGTTTAAACTTTATTTTTATATGCTATAGTGAAACAATGGTGCTGTATTGTTGTATTTGTAAGGCAAAATGGACATTGGATAAAGACATATCGTTGTTTCGGTAATCAAATTTTCTGAAATATGCAAACATAACTTTTGAAGAGTTGTTAATGTCGAATTTGTTAATTCCATGTTTTAGATTTCCAAAAACAGAAGATATGTTAAAAGAATGGTTGCGTGTTATACCAACAGTAAAACAAGTTAAGTCACATTCACGAGTATGCCAAGCTCATTTTCGTGAATCGGAATATTGTCGGATCAGTAACAAACTTATATTAAATAAAAATGCAATTCCAAGCATTTTTTCGCAATCTGTATTGATGAATGCAGATTGCTCAAATATATTGGCATCAGAAAGTTCAGGTAGTGAATCAGTCATAAGGAATAAAAGTACTGTATCTCCAGAAAAGATAAATATAGAAGACCTGTCTTCAGACAGCTTTGTATCACTAAAAAGGAAAGGAATGAAAGAAGAAGAAATACAAGTATCTCCTGATGTTAAGGTAAATCTATGTGTCGATTTAATTAACACACTTATGTTCTTGTTGCTTTAATAATATTTAAATTATATTGAATATAATATTAGGATGTTGCAACACAGATATCTCCACGGCGACTCCAACCATCTATTCGGGAAGAACAATTACTACATGAAACTCAAATTTTGAAGAAAAGATTATCCAGAAGAGATGTAAAACTTGCAAACATGACAGCTTTATTACAGCATTTGAAACAGCATTTGAAAAATACAGGTAACTCATCTGATGAGTTGAAAGAAGTATTGCTTAAAACATTTTTTGGCTTAAAGTTAGACATATTACAAAATGAACTGAACAATAACAATGAAAAGTTTTATCAACATTACTTCAGATAATATAAAGGAGTTTGCATTAACATTATATTTTTATTTTCCAAAAGTATATAATTATATTTGTACACAATTAAGATTGCCGAATGAGGCAATATTACAGAGATACGTTACATCATTTTCTTGCAAAGCAGGTTTTCTTGATATAGTGTTGCAATTTTTAAAAAACAAAAGCATCAGTTGTGATTATTTAAACAATGTAGCTTTAATAATGGATTCAATATCTATTAAGTCAAATATAAAATATGACAACAATATAACAACAAAGTTCTATTTAAAGGATATAGATTACGGATCTATTGTAAAATATTTGCAATTACAATATAATGAAAAAGATATTGCTTCAGAAGCATTCCAAATTTATTCTCTGAGCGTTATCTAATGGGGATTATATTCCAAGTTGTTTCATACAGCATTAAATTCAAGATTCCAATTGCTCATTTTTTCGTACATAAAATTACAAGCGACAATCAAATCAAATTATTTATTGAGACAATGAAAAAATTACATGAAATTGAGAGTCACAGTACGTTCTATAACTTGTGATGGAACAATAATGAATTTTATTACTATGACTAATTTAGGTTGTTGCTTCGCGTCAAAGATAATGAAAACTCATTTCAAATATCTATGCACGAATTCTAATGTTTATGTGTCATAAAAATTACTTTAAAAAAAAAAGTAAAAAAAGGAGCCAAGTGCATCAGTGCTGCGAGTTCGAGTACTTTTGGTGCATTCGTTTTGGACGCTTATGCGCTTAAGCATCATTCTATTTTAATCGCTCATTACCTGCAGGAAAAAGATAGAATGACGCTTACAGCGCAAAGCGCCCAAAGCGAACGCACCAAAAGTTACCCGCACTCGCAGCACTGAAGTGCATGTGCCTTAGCATTATTTGTCTTTACAAAAGAAAAATCGTTATAAATAAATTACAACAAAAGTGTATTCAGCTAAAAGATATTTAAAAAAATATTATTAAACAACTTTATTCAGATGAATTACTCTCGTGAATACTCTATTGAAAAATAGACAATTTTATACTCTTTACAAAAGTAATGATATCAATCGGTTTGCGCCAATTGTGAATGAATAATTATTTCAGTTTTTACTTTTATAAACATGTGTAGTTTTGGCTATATAATATATTTATATAAATTAAATATATTATTAATATATTAGTAATATATCATTAAATAAAAAATAAAATAATTAGAAAAATACAATAATGTTGAAAAATACAATAATGTTGAAAAAATATAATAACTTACACAAAAACCATTTGGCGTGCCTTTTTTTATAAGCAAACGGGTTCTTTTATTTTAATGACTATCAAAATATTATATTGATTATCGATAGTCCAAATAATAAAAAGGAGATATCACGTTCCAAAGTTGCTTAGTTATCGATATTATCGCTGGCATTGTTGCTTCTTTACCGCGATACCGATTGGTTGTGCGTTGCAGCCGGCTTCGTGTCGCGCCAGGCTGTCATCGTGGCGGAGTTGAGTGACAATTCGTGCGTATTATGAGAACGGGGTTATAACGAGAGAGAATGAGAATAGAAGAGAATAGTAGAGAATGAAAATAGGAGAGAATAGTAGAGAATGAGAGAGAGTAAAGAAGAATTAGAGAAAATAAGAAAGAATGGGAGAGAATAAAGGAGCATGAAAACATTTAGCTGTATTAAAATTTGTTTAATAATTATGTATATGAGACTATAATAATAATTATGTACATGAGACTATATATATTATGTCTATAGTCTCTTCCTACATGTTGGCTTCACTTTTCTGGCCGTTTGCGGGATCCATATATACTATGTCCACTGGTTGTATTCGAATATGAATGCAGATTACAGGTTTGTGTATGAGAGATAGGGAGAGACAGGTTGAGACGGGGAGAGATGGGAAGAGGCAGAGAAAGACAGGGAAAGACAGGAAGAGACAGGCAAAGACGGGGAAAGACAGGGAGAGATAAGAAGTGACAAGGAGAGACAGGGAGAAACAGGAAGAGACAGGGAGAGACAGAGAAAGACAGAGAGAGACAGGGAGAGACGGGAGTAGACGAGGTGAGACGGGGAGAGATGTGGAGAGACAGGGAAAAACAGAGAAAGACAGGGTAGTGCTGTTATGTTAGAAGGTTAAAAGTTATTTTTAATTTATATTGGATTACCTTAAATTCTCTTTACAAATATGGAATTGAGGATAATATCAGATAAGTATTAATATCGTTAAATATACATAAGATATATAAGGAAGAAGAATTTATATTTGTAGCAGAACAAGGAAAAATACAGTTGGGAATGAGAAATGCATGCTTAGAGCACACATGAGAGAACTTTTGGACCAAACAGAGAAAATTACGACGTGAATCACCCGTTTGTTCATGCTGACGTCATTACATTGCTTCATATAATCCAGCAGATTCTAGTACTTGATGTAATTGCTGCTATCCACGACGAACAAAATAAAAATATAAACTATGCAATTTTTACAATAAGAGAGGAAGAAAGCGAGAGAACCAAAGAGGCAGATTAACAGATAGACAGAAAAATAGAGAGACAGAGTGACAAAGACAGAGAGGCAGAATTGTAGGAAAGCATTGAAATAAGAAGACAGAAGAGGTAGGAAGACAAGGAAAGAAAGAGTGATGAAGAAAGGTAGAGTAAGAAGGGAAAAGGATGAGAGAGAAAGATAAAAACGAATGAAGTAGAGTGAAAAAGAAAGAATGGAAATGAGGATAAGCGAAAAAAAGAATCAAAGAGAGAGAGAGACAAAGAGAAACAAAGGGAAAAGGAGATAAGAAGATGAGGAAAAAGAGAGACAAGCAGAGAGATTGAGAAATAAATAGGTAAAGAGACAAAGAGACAGGATTTAAGATGCAAAGATAATATAGATTTATAAAGAGGCTGAGAGATAAAGCAGCAAGAGAGAGAAGGACGGAGTAGTAGAGATAGAGTAAGAGAAAAAGAGAACAAGAAGGAAAGATTAGAACGAAAGAGGAAGAAAGAAAGAGGAAAAATGAAAGTATAAGGAAAAAAGAGAAAAAAAGAGGCAAAGAGATGCTAAAATACAGAGAAACAGAAAGAAAGAGAGATAGAAAGAAGAGGAGAAAGAAAGAGAAATAGACAATAAGATAGAGAAGCACACAGACAGCACTCAGACAGCACACAACACTTACAAAATATTTTAGAAATATAGATATTAAATATTTTATAAATATTCAAGTATCCAAGATTTTCAGGTATAAAAAAGATTATAATAAATATTTAAAAGTATTTATAAAAAACATCTTTCATAAATATTTTTACGAAAATGATTATAATTTAAGAAATATTTATGATAAATATTTTTCATATATATTTTTAAATATTTATCATAATCTTTTTTATACCTGAAAATCTCGGGCATTAAAATATTTATAAAATATTTAATATCTATATTTCTAAAATATTTTGTAAATATCGTGTGCTGTCTGGGAAAGAGAAAGACGAAACAGAGTGACAAAGGCAGAGAAGCAGAATTATTGGAAAGGAGAGAAACAGAAAGATAATGAAGTAAAACAGCAAGAAGAAAAGGAAGGGAAGAATGATAGAAGTAACGTGAGAGTAGAAGAAGAAGAGGAAGGAAAAGGAAGAGAGAGAACGATGAAAACGAAAGAGATAGAATGGAAGAGCATGAAAATGAGGAAAAGAGGAAAAAAGAATCAAAGAAAGAAGGAAAGGCAAAAATACAAAGGAAAATACAGAGGGAAAAGGAAATAAGAAGAGAGAAAGAAAAAGAGAGAACAAGAGAGACATATTAACAGATAGACAGAGAGACAGAGTGACAAAGACAGAGGCAAAATTGTAAGAAAGCATTGAAACACGAAGGCAATGAGATAAAGAGGGAGGAAGACAAGGAAAGAAAGAGTGATAGAAGTAGAGTAAGAAGAAAAAAGGATAAGAGAGAAAAATAAAAACGAAAGATGTAGAATGGAAGAGAAAGAATGGAAATGAGGAACAGCGAAAAAAAGAATCAAAGAGAGAGAGAGAGGCACAAAGAGAACAGAAATACAGAGAAACAAAGGGAAAAGGAGATAAGAAGACGATGAAAAAGAAAGAGAAACAGAGAGATTGTGAAACAAAAAGGTAAAGAGACAATATTACAGGTGAAGGGATATAGATCTATAAAGAGGCAGAAAGACAAAGCGGCAGGAAGACAGAGAAACACGGAGTAGTAGAGATAGAGATAGAGAGAGAGGGAGAGAAAGAGAGAGAGACAAATAGATGCTAAAATGTTATTCTGTCTTTGCTGTTTCAATGCGCGATAAAGATAGAATGACACGTTAGTAGTAATAGTTTGAGTTCCGAATGCATTGTATACATATCATACATATACATACATTGTATACATATCATATATATACATACATATATATATATATATATATATATATATATATATATATATATATA